TAGGTCTACTCAGTAAAATCGGCGTCTAGAAGCCTCCACGTGTCATAACCCCATTGGCTGCAACACAGCTGGGAGGCAAACGTCACAGGAGCTCCCCGCCACAAGATCGGGTTAAGCAGAAAATATGCCTAAGCTCATTATAACGTCCGCAGTCATCACATATTTCTTCCAAAACATTCCACGTGTTATTGTGTCAGTCAAACTCGTAGCTCTCGCTTCCCTTCAACCTCGACTGACCCTGTTTGTCTTGTGGATAAAGAAAACACGCAACGACACGGGGCGTCACTGGCCTCCCGCCAGTCGACTTAACTCAGGAGTGCGGTTTCAAGATTGTACTCGGCGCGGTGGCGATTCCCACTCATCTCCAGTTCATCGTGAGCCACTTGCGAACCCGCGAGTTAGAATGCAAACTGCCGGGTCACGTCCTCGTAGTTTCCTTCACGGGCAGAGTATGATTCTCGTCTTGAATTTTTCGTTAGAATTGTCATTCACAATGACTGGACCCAACCCTCCTTGCGCTTCCCTACACAGTCAATGGATAACGGGGCAAAGATGAGCCATTGCGTCGCCCACGGCATTCAGTGGTATAGATATCTACCTACTCTCAACTTGGTTTCATCCCATCCCCCTCAGTCGGTCGCTACAGCTGATGTAAAGCATTCAAATTTTGATGACCGAAGTAGCCACGGGACTCGTAAACCAACCCAAACAGCGGCATCCACCAAACAAACAATTCGCCGGCGCTGGTAGCGTCATCTGTAGCTGTTCGCGCACGGCAGGCACGGGCGGACCGAAGCTTCTCGCTGCATCCACCAGATGGCGGGGTCGCCGGAGCCGCCCACAGCACTGCCCCATCTTCAGGCATGCAACGGCGCAGTACGTGTCAGCTCCGGGCCTTTTTAGAAGCTTGATGTGAGAGAGTACAAACGAGACCGATCTCACGTATGGATTTGCTTCACATTGCTCAAAATTATGACTTCTTCCTCAGATGTAAGCCACTGTTCTCACGCTTACATAAAAAACAAGTATGATAACTGGCCTCAATGTAGGATGAGAATATGACGTGGCTGGAACGGGGCTGAAAACGCTGTGACTGAGAGGGGCAATAGGTCGTCAGGGTGGGATATTTCACCGAGTTTGGGATCGTCCCTACACCGCGTTTCACATGCCAAAAACGTCAGCGCCAGCTTTTGTTCGTCTGGGAACTGCACCAGCTTCTCAAGCAAGCTGATTTTCCGCTGTGACTGGCTCGACACGTGCTCTCTATGTAAGAGGGTTAGGGCTTAGTAGTGTGTGTGTGCGTGGGTGGAGCATCCGGCATCGCGGCTGGGGAAGACACCAACACAGTCCACCCGGCGCTGCTGACGAATACACCAACGCGATCCACCCGTGCTTATAGTTGGCCATGCTCCCAAACTCTCCCGTCACAGACCGGCTCTCCCAGAGCTGATGAGGCAACTTCAGGGCGCAGTTCCGCCGGCTCGACGCATCGGACCACCGAGCGTGCCCCTCCCCCCTCTCCTCCCTTCCCCTCCCCTCTCCTCCCCCCTTCCCCTCCCCGCCTACGTCCGTCACGACGTCGACGGTCAGGTCGGCGGCGAAGACATTCGCTGGTGTCGCCCAGGCCAAAGACGTTAGAAAATGTGGGAACGGAGCAGACGCCATTTTCAAGTAATTATGTTCGTGCACCAACGTAAGATTAAAGGCGTCTCCCAAAATAGTTTTGAAGATGGCAAGTAGCAGCGTGCTTCTCTGATTCATATGTTGCAATGGTCATTGTCAGGACTGTTCTCTTCTTACCGTCTAACAATTCTACGATTTCGGCCTTAGCATAGACCCAATGGGAGACGAACATCACTCGATTTGTTCCCTAGCGTTATAATACAATATAGCGTTATGGTATGTTATTCTGGTATGATGACGGTTCGCTGATAGCGCTCGATAGCCCGGGTAAGGTCGTCGGCTTCAGTCTTAGACGGTCAGTGGCCACACATACGGTGGCCTAGGCAGGCGAGGGAGCCGCTAAGACAGCCCGGGCCAGCTAGACAGCGATACCTAGGCCCACAGAGTCGAAGTGTCCATTAAATTCTTCGGCTTTTTCTATGGCCAGGTCTCCAGTGGCGCCCCCACCTCCTTTCGCTGGCTTCAAAGCAAAGTTTGTAATGCCTCTCCAGAAATCAGCCGGTCGGTTAGCATGACACCGTACAGGAGACCACGCCTCGACCTCGTAAAGTGACCTTTCAGGAGGTTTCGAAGGCATCGGCAAGCCAATGGGTCAGTTTCGGTCCCAGATTCACGCCATGTTCGGTACGCGTCATCACGCTGCCGCACCAGCCGCCGCGAACCATGGACATTGGGAACGATGACGGGGGGGGGGGGGATATAGTTTACGGATACGAATGCTGTTGTCACAATAGTGATTTCGACAGAAAGGGAGCAAGGAATGAATAATGCACGTGAATATTGCTGTGATGCATGACTGGAGAGTAATGCTTTCAACACTGCTTTATTGCTATTGCTCTGTCCTCTGTGAAAAACATTCTATGCAGCTTGATTTTTAAGACCTATAACTCGGTGACATTTGCCGCTCCCTCCATGGCCTTAAATAGCATAAATGTAACGAACATAAATGTAATAATACAGCCGTTACTCATGTTGACCCCGTGAAAGGCGGATGAGGTGTCTACGGTTTGTGGCATGCGCTATCATGGTGGTGTTCATGACTATGACACTATGACACTACGTTGGTCTTTTTCAAGGTATATCTGGTTTGTTTGAGGTCTTTCTCATAACCAAAGAAGTTGTTTTGGGTTTTGTAAAATATTACTAATTTCTGTACGTCACTGGGAACACAGTGTTCGACGACAATGTCATTTTATTCTTTCTCATCTGTTTTCCGAGATGAAGTCATCGTATTTCTTTGAAAAGTTTCAGCATCTCTGACGTTACCGAAAGACATCATGCTGTTTGTCTTTTTAAGATAATTATCAAGAGACATTGTCAAAATAAATATTTGTGTATCCGTTATTAATGTGGATTTAACGTAGCCGTTCTAGCTCCGTATCAAGGCAATCCATGGATAGCGCACGCGCACGCACTACACACACACATTGGCAGATGATATATATATATATATATATATATATATATATATATATATCATGCGCTCGGGCTGCCGGTTGAATACCCTCCACTCAGGCATAGAAGTCACTTGGGCTCCGATGAGATCACAAAAAGAAAGCAGGCTAGATGCGCGAAATTCACAGGGTAGGTTGGTCTGTATGCTGACTGCCTTGTATCAAAATGTGAGGTTCATAGATCATAAATTTGGGTCAGATAAGCTTAAACGACGTCAAAGTCCAGATCAGTGTCGAAGTTCCCTCAGACCGCGCTATGCCATCATAGAAAACCTGAATATCTCCACTAAGCAAAAGTTTACTGGTGTTAGTGCCAGGTCAGTGACCTTGTTTGACCTTCAGAGGGTCATGGTGACCATGAAACTGCGAGATATTCTGATGTTTGAATTGCATTAAGTCTGAGATATTTACCCCAAGGCGGTGTGCTATTAAAATAAAGCTCAATGGGGTTCATGCTAGATTAGCAGCTTCTTCTAATCTTTATAAAGCTCAAATAAAAATTTGTGTTGACCTTTCTGTCATCATGGAGTCTGAAATGAGCTTCAGAAACTACCCCTTGAAGCAAACTCTTCAGTAAAAATGGTTTTGACCTCTGTCTGCCCTCCACTCTTCACCACATACCATACCTCGATACCATATCATATGTTAAAGCTTAGTTCGTAGTATCATATTTTACAGTGTACCTCATAGCATCACCTTTTATTTTTTGTGACGTGTTGCAGCGAGTGAACGAGTGATGTAACAGCCCAAAGTTAATGAACGCTGTAACGAGCCGAAAGTTAAAAAGCCACCTCGCGGATGGTTGTCGCGTAAACAAATACAGCAAAAAACACAACAGCCCTAGCTCAATGAAATGTATTGTAATCCTCAACTCGATTGTCTTATTGCCAAAGTAGCTATCTTAGAAATGACTTCGTTCTCCACTGCATTGTCGCATCAAATTGAACGATGCCCAAGAAATAGCATTGGCTGTCAGCCACGGCCTGATTTTGACAGTTCAGCGACCTTACAAGATGCATTTTTTGTTGTATGTCAAAAGATCTGCCCGTCGTTTAGCGACAACTATGCAGAGTTTGCCGTTGCTACGCCGCGCCGTTCGGAGAGTATTCCGTAAAATACTTTGGGGGGGGGGGGCAAATTGACCCCCACTGGGGCATGTGTTAACAATAATTTTGCTTTATAGACATTCCGGGGTTCTAGCATACAAGGCTAACAACAGTACTAACCATTGAAGTTAGATGTACTGATCATTAAATTGTCGATGCACTTTTATATACCATTTCTCTTTTACATCCGATGCATTCCGTCGCGCACGACTTTGTACACCATGTTTGTTTCCCCGTAGTTCTGAAAGCTCTGTTTCTGTAATTTGACTAAATCAGAATCTGTAATTCTGATTTGACTGTGCACGTAGAGCCAAGCTATCGATGAATGGTACACAGATACTTAGTAATGCTACTCAGGTACCCGATAAAAGCATTGGTTTTTGCAGCAACGTTTACCACCCACCACCCAAATATATACCGCCGCTCAGGAGTCGGGTGTTTTTCTTATTCAGTTCGGGCAGCCTCATCGCCCTTACTTCGAGAGGCAAGGCGATCAAATTCGGAGATAAGCATTATTTCCCTGTATTTTGAACGCGGGTTCGTCCATTTTGCTTCCTCAGCCCCCCCCCCCCCCAACTTATCTTATGAAACTACACCTGTGACACCACGCCTTACAGCCGCATACGCACCAAAGGCCAACTCGCCTCCGGGACAGAGTTGTTTGAGGCGCGCGCGCGCATCGTCGTCGCCGTCGACGACGCTGCGTCGGGGCCGACGTAGCAGTCGACGCTGGACACTCGTGCGCGGAACGCGCGGCGCTGGAGCGGGAGTCCGGCAGGTCGCGAGCAGCGAGGACGTCATCTGGTGCCGCCTCACCCGGCTGACGTAAGCAGTTCCAGAGCTGTTCGCACCTTGTTGTCATTGCGTAATGGCTCGTTGGATTCGGTCAAGGTCACGCATGAAACTGGGTGTTGCTGGGAGTTTAACATTGGATGTGCAGAGAGATGTCATTACAGGCATGGGATGAACAACCACAGGTGTGTGTGAGCTTTTCTCATGTTTGTCACTGGTATACCGACCGACTGAAGATGAAACTCAATAGATGTCACTGGCGAGCTCTTTTCGCACCTACAACCGAATCGTGGGATCCAGTCATTGTCGCTTCCGCGCGTCGAGCTTGATATACATGCTCAGTCGATGGCATTCAGCTTTTCAGGCCTCACATACAATTTGCGTGCTTTTCACTACATAGAACATACCGTCAGGTGCTCGTGGACATGCCATGTAATCAATACGCTTCATCGTTCGGGTGGTCGTGAACCATTGTGAAAAACAGACGTGGTTATTCGGGGGGGGGGGGGGGGGGGTACGTTGGGAGAAGCCAGGTGACCCATGGCGTCGCACGTATCTAACTCAAGTTTGACTTTAACTGATATGCGAATGCCTGGTTTTCATAATTTTGATTTGTAAAGACTGAGAAGTTATCTTTAGTCATGGGATACTGTTGAATTTTAGTGCTGTGCAGTTCCAGCTGCTTTGCTGAATGCAATATTTTTACGGTTCTGGCCAAAATACGACACGATACTCTAGAAAATAAGTCTTTCACTTCCCCACAGATAACTAAGATGCAAAAAGGTACATTAGCCTGCATCACCTCATACCAGAGCGCAAACGCATCGTAAAATGTATTCTGAAACATGACATGCATTGCATTATACATTTGGTCACACACTTTGGATAATTTACCATGTCTATCTAAACTATTTTAGAGTATCATTACGCAGCAAGAGCAGGTAAACGCAGTTACAAAAGTGTTCATTAATTAGGTCCGGGAAATGGATAGGCTTTCTAGAGCCTTCGCACGAGACCCGATATACTAAGCGAGAATCAGGAGCGATCTCCATCTCTCAGGCCAGACTTTGTTTGCTGTTGGCTCCTGGGGTTTTAACGTGCGAGCCGTCGCTGTGCAATACTGCCTGAACGTCCCGGCAGGGTTGGATAACCTCAAACAACACGCCCTGCGCAATGCAATTAAGGTCTCAAGTGTGATTACGCGACGCTGAAATGACGTTACTTAAGGGCTGCAGTGAGGTTATTTTCCTCATTCCGGAGAAAGTTTAACTCATTTGCCAGCCTATCTGGAGAGCCGGCAAATTTCCGTATACCATGTCTAAGCATACGTGCATTTACATGCCCGGATGCGCGTTGTGTACATATGTGCGGGACAAATCGGTTGCATATACACGTTTGTACTTAACCTATGATAGCCTGGATGTACATAAGCGTTACATCTCCACCCCAGCATATTCTAAAAAATTACCAGTGCACTGTGGCACGTTATTCAATGGCATGCTATTGTGCCATACTTCTATACAATCTCGATATATTGAGGTATTTGCTGCTGATGACAGTGTATTCATTCCTCTCGTTATTCTTTGTTCCATGCCTATCGGTTGATGAGTGACGCATACAGATGTATACTGTTCAGCACATGGTTGCCGTTCTACAACAAACGCGGCTATGGTCATGTCCATAGCCATGAGTGGGATTTAGCTGTTTTGGTTTGTCCTGGATATCTTTCTTCTCCCAGAGCGCAGTTTTGTTTTCCCGGCAAACCAAACCAAACCAAACAAACCGCACATGTCTGGCGGCGACTGGTCAGGGAGCCACCTGGTGTCGGGCATCGCAGTTACGCCGGTAGCCCTTGGTCCCCAACGTTATTATTATCTTGTTAAATCACTGTGCAAGGTGTACACTTACGGCCTTGTCTGACGGAATGCTCGTCAGAAAATACATAATGTTTGGATTGGGGCTAGCGTTTTCAGCAATAAACACAGGATGAGACAATGATATACGCAAAATTAAGTCGCTGCCGTCTCGAAACAACGTTTGCAAACCATTCCAGTGTGTGTGTGTTTTTTTATTAAAGGTATGGAAATAAAGAACACATAAGCTCAGACATTTAATCTTACTACACAATAATGGCTCCATTCGCCTTAACGGTTACAATATATTTTTTTACGTGCATGTCCGTCAGTTCCAACTGCCAGGGCCACGCCTCATCAACTCTATCATAAACACTGTCCAGTAGTGCAAAGTGTAACAACACGTGTGTCCTACAGCATCGTACGCTGCCAGTTTCGATTATCTTGGTTGTTCGAAGTCGCCTGCAAATGCACTCTAGAAGAAAAGAGTTTTATAAAATCCAAGGAGTGCGAATATAGAGTATTACGTTCAGCACTGCGGCAGAGGAAAGGACTGTTGAACTAGTCACATTAGGAAATTGACGAGTGACGCAACTGATATTGCTAACTGATGTGAGTGGGCTCAGCAGCGTAATTATTTATCGCAGGTCTATGTACTGTGTGGTTGAAC